GATATTCACATGTGAATAGCTGTAAGAAACTTGTTTGGACCTGACCTTATCACTAGCTTGAAAGTTGACTAGTACACTTTTTTGCTTCTATATGGTGTTACAACACATTCATAAATGCATCCTTATATATATGCAGATTGTTGTTTGTACTTGCAATGCTGGGCTTATGTGCAGATATTGGTCGTGGAGTAGATTTATATAGCGGAAAGATGCAATAGAAGGAATTAGAGAGCTTTTTGGAAAATATATATCGGTTTAGTTGGAGAAATTGGATTTGCAGCAACTGATTTTAAAATGAGGGTTGATTGTCTATAAAGTAAGCGCAACCACCAGAGGACCAATAGGGGCGGTGAGGATTCATAACTTGTTCTTTAAAGGATGCCCCACCATTCCCTTGAATTTGCCCTTTAAGTGGCTTGTGTTGGTCAACTGGGCCGGCAATCGGCATGTCCCGGATTTGCCGCTTGCTTCCCTGTGTCCATGGACTTCGGCTTATACAGACACTTGAGAGTTATTGGATATCGTTGGCTTACTTTGCCAACTGCACTGTTATCAGTAAAAGTGGATGTTCATTTTTGCGTTGTAGGGTCAAAAGGAGTAGGGTACGCTCCCTGTTTATCCCATTAAATGGAACGGGTGCTCATCTGATTTTAACGATTTTAGCTTATGATGGGTGGTTTATTGCAAGAGTTAAGAATCTCGTGATTTAATTTGCGCTATATTAACCACCAGGATCATAGTGGGAGCTTTTGAAGGCAGCGTATTAATTTGGTTCAATGGTTACGTTTGTATGTGGTTATTTCAGTGGACCTGGTCACAAGCATCTTGTGCTGTTTCAGTGGCTCTTTGTGATCCAGCCCTTGTGCTGGTGGCTCCTCCATAATATTAGACTCAAATATGGACTGGGCATTGTTGGGGTGGTCAAAACTCTTCATCTTAGAAGGACTTGGTCTAAAGATGAATCATCATGGCCTGGACTGCACTGCAGTATGCAGAAGTGGGTTGGATATTTTTGATCCACTTAGGGTGCGTTTATTGAACGCTTACTTGGTTAAGTGCACCGGGTCATTACTTTACCGGATGAATATGGTAAGGACCGAGAATCTTATCCGGTAAGAGCAATGATAAGGATGAAAAGTCTTATCCAGTAAGTGAAAGTGACGACTCTTACCCGGTAAGTACTTACCAGGTAAATTGTTGCATACAATACCATTTTGATGAACTATAACTTTACCCGATAAAGTAAATTGTAGTTTTGACTCTTTACAGGTAAGCACTTACTGGTTAACCGTTTGGTAAATGACTCCTTAATCCTGGCTTTCTTTACTCTTTTTTCTTCTCCGTAGCAAAAAGAAATTTCATACAAATGTTAAAAGGGTATAGTGATAGGCTATTATTGGAAGTCTACACGACACATGTTTCATATTCATAGAAGGGTAGAGGGTGGTTCAAACGAGAACATGGTCGAAATTAGAAAACCTGAGAATTGCTGTTTTTCCATTGAAATCATATATGATCCATTAATTCTTCTTGTTGCTCGTCACTTTGATTTGTAGTTAATCTTTTTTTATTAACCTGGATATCCAACCTGTTATGCGAGCCGACTAATCCAAGGGCAACCACCTGCTTTGCAGATAGTTCGGAGTCACCGTATTTGAACCTCCGTGGCTGCAAGGGGATTTTTATTTCTCCTTGGATTTGAACCTGTGACCTGCTGATACTTTTGATCTTTAGAGTCAAGCTCAAACCAATCAGGTGGTTTATTTGATCTTTTCAAATCAGTATTTAAATTATAACCGTCAATATCATTCTTTATTACATGGACACAACTTATTAATTGCTACCAGATCCTTTGAACACATCAGGGATTCTCACATCATGATTTAAATCATTGATACTCTTTTATCAATTACAAGACTATTCATCAATTATAATCGTTATAAAATAAATAATGATATATTACTAACCAGGGTTGGGTTCACGTGAGACCAACCTGTTTTCGTGAAACCCGTGATACCACTTTTTTATACTTGAAACTTCATAGCAAAACATTATGAAGGTTAAAAAAGCCGAACTTTCACAATAAAAACATTGTGAAGGTTACCTTCACAACGTTTTGCTGTGAATTTTCAAGTGTAAAAAGTGGTCTTATTAAAACAATCTGATCTCATGTAATCCCAAGTCTTAATAACCGTGGCATCTTTAATTTTCTTTATTTAATACTCAGAAACATAAAAGTTTATTTTTCCTTCATTTTCCTGAATCTGCAACAAAATTGAAACCACAATCCTAATATCTATTGTTAATTTGTTTAGGGACCCAATCCATAATTTTGATATAACCACAGGGACCAAATCTGTAATTTACTCTTGTTTTTCTTTTCTTCCCGAGAACACAGCGGTAGTTCTGGAAGATGAAAAGCACTCCGCGTGAAGTTTAGGAAGTTTGTGCAAAGCTACAATGACGAGGTCTTCTCCATCGCTAGTTTCTCGGACGAATCTGAAATACAGGAATCTCTCCGTAGATTTCTTCGTGTGTCCGAGCTGATCGAGGAGAATGAGTGCTCCAGAGTGATAGCAGACATGATGGTCTGTGCTACGTGTAAATGCGATGGATCAGTTCGATTCTTTGATGCCATTGCTGCTGCTGTATGTATCTTATCTTAAATTTAGGGCAAAAATACACGTTCATTTCCAAATTTTCGTTTGCCTTCTCGAAAAGGAAGATACTCGCATGGTATATCCTATAATCATGTCAATTGCCACATTATCCTCCAATTCTAATCGAATTGTTTGACATAAACCATGATAAGATGTTAATCAATTGTTCATCTGTAGTTCTATTTTTCGAAATTAAGGATAGTTAATTTGATTAAAATTGGAAGAAAATGATGAAATCGACTTGATTGTAAAAAGATAGGCATGCCATAGTTAAACCTTTTCTTGGAGTACCTAATAGGAGAGAGTGTGAAAGTAGAGCGAAGTTATTTATTTTGTCTAGGTTGAATGATAGTATTTTTATAGTTCATTAAAAAAATAGTATGCCCTTATTTTATAAATGATAAGTGTATCTTATTGTAAAGCAGACAACGGCTTGTTATGCTTAGCAGATTATTTATTATTGTAGTGTGGCAGATTATGAATGATGATTTCAGTTTAACCGAATGAAAACTTAAACTACCATGCCAAATTATGAAGAAAATAGAGCAGTGACATATCACATATGCTACTTAGGGGTCGTTCACCTGAACACTTACCGCGTAAGCGTTTACCTGTAACATTCTAACACTATTACTTATCTTACCAGGTAAGATTCTAGTCCATCAAAATGGGATCGTGTGCAAAAATTTACCTGGTGAGCACTAACCCTCACTTACAGGGTAAGACTCTTGGTCCTTGCCATCGCTCTTACGGGATAAAATCCCGGTTCTTGCCATGTTCATCCGATAAGGTAATGTGACTTGGTAGCGCTTACCGAGTAAGCGTTGGGTAAATTGTCCCTTAGTTTGAGCATCTTGTAGAAAGTGGTGTGGTAAAAAAATCGTATGCATTCATTGCAAATGAATGAGTAGTCCGTTTTCTTGTATTCTTATATGGAAATGGAGCTATGTCATGCACCCACTCATGCCCAAGCACATCCGAGCTTATTATCCTAGAATACTTAAGAAGTGGTATTTTTGGCACATATTATTAATGTCTGGTATAAATAGGGGGTTGGAAGAGGGGTAAGGTATTAAGAAATTTGTTAAGCATGTTTTTGGGAGAGTTCTGGCCTCTTGAATAGCCCATAACTATTTAGTTTCACAGCTGAATTGAGTTAGCTCCTTTGATAATTTCAGTTTCTCTTTTAGAGTTTGATGKATTCTGTCAAGTTCATATCAAGCTACCAAAAATAGGAGGATCTTAGGTGTACCTGTAATGAGGAATGAGATGTTTGAATTTCCTTTGGCTAACAAATATCTTGACTTAGATGGCACTCCTTTAATGAGGTTAATGCAGAACAAATATAAGCAGATACCATTGTACAACATGAATACATGATTCTTGAGAGGGTATTCTACTTAAATGTGCATWTGGATCTTTGGATGGAGATTTGATTAGAGGGGCATGAGGAAGGCGCATTAGCATGCTTGAAATGCGTTACAAACCATGGTCAGTCTGGGGATGGAGATTTGATTATAGTTTTCGTTCTCATTTGAATACGGAAAAAGTCGATGCGGCGATGCCATATGTAATTGACGGATTAAAATACATTTTATTTTAATGTGTTCAACATAGATTTTATTGAGTGTATCTAATGATTTCTCATGGAGTCATGGTCTAGTAGCTTTAAGATATTTGTTCATGCATGGATATTCGTATTTGTTTTTGCATTACATTATTTCGTTCAATTTTTTATATTTTGCCTGACTAGTGATTTTATGATCGGGTTTTGATGTGATAATTTATCTTGTTCGATGATACGAACAAAAAAGTTGAGGCTTGAGATTTTGTTGGTACTCTAATATGCTTTATGATGTCCTATAAAAATGTTCTCATTGATACTTCAGAGGAAGTTCGTGACCACACATAGGATGGTACACATGTGTCGTTACATAGGGGCTAAGGTGGGCCCAGGTTCACCCACATATAAAAAAAATCCAAATACTGTATATTACTCATTAGAATCATTGAAATGGAAGCCGTTCATCTTTGACCCAATTCCCCTGCATTAGAGAAAAATGCAATCATTCCTGGAATATAATTTGTCCCATTTTTGTCTGCTACTAAGGATCCCTGAACCCTAATTTCTCTGTAAATTATACAACATTTCTCTCTCTCTCTCTCTCTCTCTCTCTCTCTTTCTCTCTCTTGTTCTCATAATTTAATGCAAACATTGTTCTTGATCCTTATAATACTCTCCCTCTGCCTCACTCTACATTGAAACTGCAGAATGGCAAAATAGGACTTCTTGCTATTCCAATCGGTCTGGATCTCTTAGGTGTTCCGTAAAGATCCCTAGTTCTACATCCAAATCCTGGGCATTGACTTTTATTATGTTGACAGTATCGGATGGTGGCAGAGCCAATTTTACTTGTATCTCAGCCCAACAGGTGAATCGTGTAAAGTGTTTGGTCTACTTACATTTTGGAAAACTATGATCAATTCGTAACGTAATTTTTTCATCCATCTGTATCATGTATACCACATTCTTGAATCTGATTGTATTACTCTTCTGCTAAAAGATGCCTTATGATGACAAAATGATTGAGAATTTTGTTGGAAACCTAACTTCAAAAGATATTTCTCATGGAGTCATGGTCTAGTAGCTTTCAGATATTTGTTCATGCATGGATATTCGTATTTGTTTTTGCATTACATTATTTCATTCAATTTTTTATATTTTGGCCGACTAGTGATTTTATGATCGGGTTTTGATGTGATAATTTATCTTGTTCAATGGTATGAACAAAAAAGTTGAGGCTTGAGATCCTTTTGGTACTCTAATATGCTTTATGATGTCCTATAAAAATGTTCTCATCGATACTTCAGAGGAATTTCGTGACCACACATAGTATTCTACACTTTACACGATTCACCTGTTGGGCTGAGATACAAGCAATTTTGTGCTCTGCAACCACCCGATACTGTCAACAGAATAAAAGTCAACTCCCAGGATTTAGATGTAGAACTAGGGATCTTTACGGAACGCCTAAGAGATCCAGACCGATTGGAATAGCAAGAAGTCCTAATTTTGCCATTCTGCAGTTTCAATGTAGAGTGAGGCAGAGGGAGAGTATATACAGATATTATAAGGATCAAGAACAATGTTTGCATTAAATTACGAGAACAAGAGAGAGAGAGAGAGAGAAACGTTGTATAATTTACAGAGAAATTAGGGTTCAGGGATCCTTAGTAGCAGACAAAAATGGGCAAAATTATATTCCAGGAATGATTGGATTTGTCTCTAATGCAGGGGAATTGGGTCAAAGACGAAGGGCTTCTATTTCAATAATTCTAATGAGTAATATATAGTATTTGGATTTTTTTTATATGAGTGTGAATCTGATTGTATTACTCTTCTGCTAAAAAGATGCCTTATGATGACTTTGTATTGTGCAAATCTGAAAATGATTGAGGATTTTGTTGGAAACCTAACTTCAAAAGATATTTCTCATGGAGTCATGGTCTAGTAGCTTTAAGATATTTGTTCATGCATGGATATTCATATTTGTTTTTGCATTACATTATTTCATTCAATTTTTTATATTTTGGCTGACTAGTGATTTTATGATCGGTTTTTGATGTGATAATTTATCTTGTTCAATGATACGAACAAAAAAGTTGAGGCTTGAGATTTTGTTGGTACTCTAATATGCTTTATGATGTCCTATAAAAATGTTCTCATTGATACTTTAGAGGAATTTCGTGACCACACATAGGATGGTACACGTGTGTCGTTACATAGGGGCTAAGGTGGGCCCAGGTTCACCCTCATATAAAAAAAACCAAATACTGTATATTACTCATGAGAATTATTGAAATAGAAGCCCTTCGTGTTTGACCCAATTCCCCAGCATTAGAGACAAATCCAATCATTCCTGAAATAAAATTTTGCCCATTTTTGTCTGCTACCAAGGATCCCTGAACCCTAATTTCTCTGTAAATTATACAACGTTTCTCTCTTTCTCTCTCTCTCTCTCTCTCTCTCTCTCTTGTTCTCATAATTTAATGCAAACATTGTTCTTGATCCTTATAATGTCTGTATATACTCTCCCTCTGCCTCACTCTACATTGAAACTGCAGAATGGCAAAATTAGGACTTCTTGCTATTCCAATCGGTCTGGATCTCTTAGGCGTTCCGTAAAGATCCCTAGTTCTACATCTAAATCCTGGGAGTTGACTTTTATTCTGTTGACAGTATCGGGTGGTTGCAGAGCACAAAATTGCTTGTATCTCAGCCCAACAGGTGAATCGTGTAAAGTGTTTGGTCTACTTACATTTTGGAAAACTTTGTATTGTGCAAATCTGAAAATGATTGAGGATTTTATTGGAAACCTAACTTCAAAAGATCCTCTATTTTCTGGCAGATGAAGAGTGATTGAGGACTCGTAGCGTTAGGTTGAATAAGGCAATATAATATAATATATATGCACACACACATCAGGATCCACCTAATATGGGTGTTGTGACTGGCATATGAATTTTTTTTAAATGTTGGAAGGGGACTGATGTTGATTTATGAAGGCTAATAATGGATAATAGGCAAAGACAGGAGAACCTTCTCTCTTCCCGTCTTATAAAGGATAGATGTCAGTGAAAAAACCCAGTATATATATAAATGAACTAATGTAGGAGATGGAGAGAAAAATCTCTATTGCAACCAGATCATTCCAAAATGTGTATTGCTCATCGATGAAGATGGAACAATATAACCCCTAATATTTACATATATAACCCTATAACCATGTAGAAAATATAAAAGTTACCAAGGTATATATATATATATATATATATCAAATAGAGTTAACTGGATCATGTTCTTGTTGTAATATTTTTTTAGGGTATTTCGCTGATACTTTTTGATTGAAGTTGGTTTCATGTAAAGAACTGAATTTATTGATGTTGAAAATGACATCACTGTGAATCTGTGATTATCGACGTTGCCTTTTCTTCAAATAATTTGTTTCTTTATAATCAATAAATGTTGAGCTGATCATGAGACTTATAACTTTGACCAATTTTGTAGCCTGGGTTGAAGGATGAAGAAGATCCTCCTCGTAACAAACTAGAGGAAATTGTACGGAACAAATATTTAGAGGTTGCCCAGGTCCGTTCTCCTGGATTCAACAGGAACAGTTGGGCCTACGGGTGTAAACAAGTCGAGCTGAGTGGAGTAGCAGGTTATTCGAGCTCGGTTCGAAAAAATTAATATCAGAGAGCTCGATTAACTTTTTCAAAGTCGAGCTCGAATAGTTTTTGAAGTTTGGAGCTTGAGCTTGATGCTAGTTTATGCGCTTGAACTCGAGACTAATTAACTCGTTTATTTGCCTCAAGCTTGATGATTTTTATATTTTGATTATATAATTTACATACATATAAATGTGTTTGGGTCGAAAAAGTGTATTCTCAAATAGCTTGGCTCGGCTCGGCTCGAATCGACTCAACTCGTAAAGCTTAATCAAGCTTTCGAATGAGTCGAGTCGGACACTGGTGTTATTGAGCTCGACTCGTTAAGCGAGCTTTGTTTGCATTCAAGATTGACTCGAGCTCGAGAATAAGCTTGGGCTCGAGTAGCTCGTTAAACTCGACTTGTTTACACCCCCAGTTGGGCCAAAGCCATTGGTCATTCTCCTTGATTCCATTGTTGTAAGTTCTCCCCTGCTAATAAGGACCTTTTTGCAGATGAAGGAGAACAATTCAATATTTTCACTAAAGAAAGCTCTCGACAGTGCTCCTCCTTCCAGAGACTTTAGAGGAGCTCTTAAGGTCTCATATATACGAACAGGATCACCTGGTTTAATTGCTRAAGTGAAAAAGGCTTCACCTTGTAGAGGAGTTTTAAGGGAAGATTTTCATGCTGTAAGTTGCCTCTTCAGTTTAATTCTTTAAGATCTTCATAAATCAATACATGATATGATGGTGGTATATATTTTGACCTATAAAATCATATAGTATAGTATATTTTCAGGCATATTGATTTATCGGTTTTGTTGCTAATTGAAACATACGTGTGTACATTATACACAGACGATAGATTGCCACGCACTTTGATTTACACAAGAACTACTAGCACAGCTTCAAAATTACCTTAACTGAGTTCAAAATTCTTGCTTGAACTTGCTGGATATTACTGCTTCATCCTTCATATTAGTAGCTGAATCCAACTTGAATTTGCCTCTTCTTGAAATTCACACAGATTTCTCACTTTTTTTTTCACTATCTCTCGCTCTTTGCTTGTCTCTCCGGACTCTTTGCACAGTAGAAGCTAGAATGAGAGTTCCAGGCTCTCATCTGTCTTCATAGGCATCAATAGAGCTAGTTCCTAGTCCAACTCTTTTTAATTTTTCTATTGTGATTAAATCATGGGCCATAATTTAAAATCTTCATCCAAAATCAAATCAAATGAATTACTTTAATGTGGCCGAAAATATTATTAATTTACTACACCCTATAAAATCCCCGATATGTACCCAAAAATGAAATATGGGCAGGTGTTAAAATTAAAATACACACACAGACACCCTTGATTTGATTTCTTAAAGAAGAGAAATGCCTTGAAGACACATGCATACTCATGATTGAGTCTCACTGTCTCCGGGGCATCCGTGATTCATGTGACAGAAGGAAAAAGTCAAACCATTTGGTTCGAATGTTTTTCTAGGTTTTGATGAACATTTATGCAGTAAATTACTTTACCGGATGAATATGGTAAGGACCGATGATCTTATCCGGTAAGAGCAATGATAAGGATGAAAAGTCTTGTCCAGTAAGTGAAAGTGACAACTCTTACTCGGTATTAATGTTGCATACTCCATTTTGATGATCTATAACTTTACCCGATAAAGTAAATTGTAGTTTTGACTTTCTACAGGTAAGCACTTACTGGATAACCGTTAATCCTGGCTTTCTTTACTCTTCTTTTTTCTCCATAGCAAAAAGAAATTTCATACAAATGTTAAAAGGGTATAGTGATAGGCTATTATTGGAAGTCTATGCGACACATGTTTCAGGTATACATTTTGTTTCATAGAAGGGTAGAGAGTGGTTCAAACGAGAACATAGTCAAAATTAGAAAACCCGAGAATTGCTGTTTTTCCATTGAAATCATATATGATCCATTAATTCTTGTTGTTGCCCGTCACTTTGTTTCGGGTATATATTTTGATATTTTTTAATCAGTATTTAAATTATAACCGTCAATATCATTCTTTATTACATGGACACAACTTATTATTTGCTACCAGATCCTTTGAACACATCAGGGATTCTCACATCCTGATTTAAATCATTGATACTCTTTTATCAATTACAAGACTATTCATCAATTATAATCCGTTATGAAATAAATAATGATATATTAATAACCAGGGTTGGGTTCACGTGAGACCAATCTGTTTTCGTAAGACCTTTAAGACCTTTTTTTACACTTGAAACTTAATAACAAAACACTATGAAGGTTAAAAAGGCCGAACCTTCACAGTAAAAACACTGTGAAGGTTATCTTCACAGTGTTTGCTGTGATATTTCAAGTGTAAAAAAAATGGTCTTTCGAGTCTCACGAAAAACAGCCTGATCTCACGTGATCCCAAATCTTAATAACCATGTCATCTTTAATTTTCTTTATTTAATACTCAGAAACATAAAAGTTCACTTTTCCTTCTTCATTTTCTCGAATGTGCAACAAAATTGAAGCCACAATGCTAATATCTATTGTTAATTTTTGTAGGAATCCAATCTATAATTTTGATATAACTACAGGGACCAAATCTGTAATTTACTCTTGTTTTTTCTTTTACAGCGGTAGTTCTGGAAGATGGAAAGCAGCTCCGTGTGAAGTTTAGGAAGTTTGTGCAAAGCTACAATGACGAGGTCTTCTCTATGGCTAGTTTCTCGGACGAATCTGAAATACAGGAATGTCTCCGTAGATTTTTTTGTGTGTCCGAGCTGATCTAGGAGAATGAGTGCTCCAGAGTGATAGCAGGCTTGATGGTCTGTGCTACGTGTAAATGCGATGGATCAGTTCGATTCTTTGATGCCATTGCTGCTGCTGTATGTATCTTATCTTAAATTTAGGGCAAA